AGCATTTCGGAGCAATTCCAGCGCAACTCCACACTGCAGGCTTGCTCGGCACAGCTCAGCCTTGTCTCGCTGGTTTCTAGCATACGTGTCATGCCCATGGATTCGTTTGTGCAGACCCTGCATCAGGTGGTTAAGTCGCCGCCGCCCATCCACCGGCCGCCCGCTCACCTGAGCATTGAGGTTAGCGCCTTGGAGCTTTTCTATTTCTATATGAGATCGGCGCCCGCGCCACAGCTGGCAGATGCTTGGGCCTCGCTGCTGGTGCTCATCCGCGATGGACTCAATCTAACGCCGCCGGCACAATTCGCGCTGCTGATGCTGCTCAATGAGTTTGTGCAGCGTTGTCCCCAGATGCCCTTCCCCGACAAGAAGGAGGTGCGCGAGCTGCACGATGTCACGGCGCGTCTGGTGGAATCGCTGTCTAGCGTCGCCGGCGCCTGTCTGGAACAGACCACCTGGCTGCGACGCAATCTGGCCGTCAAGGAGGACACTGATGGCCATGCCAAGGACAACAGCCTGGGCGGCGGCATACAACAATATTCGCTACAGGCGCAGAGCGTGCTCGCCGGCATACTCTCAAACCTGCTGGACGTAGCCTATGGCTCGCAGGAGAAGGACAAGGTGGTGACCATTGTGACCACGCTGCTCTACAATATAACGCCGTATCTGAAGAATCACACGGCACGCAATGTGCCCTTCTTTTACGCCTGCTCCGCCCTGCTGGCTAGCCTCAGTGGCTATCAGTATACACGAAAGGCGTGGCGCAAGGATATGCTCGATCTGCTGCTGGACACCACTTTCTTTCAAATGCACATCTCATGCTTGCCCTTCTGGCGCCAGATCATGGACAGCCTAATGACCTACGACAATACCACATTCCGGGAGCTCATGACGCGCGTCAGCCTCTCCCAGGCGGGCAGCCTAAACATCTTCGCCTCCCGCGACCAGGAGTACGAGCTTCGGGCCATGCTGCTTAAGCGTCTCGCTTTTGTTATCTACTGCAGCGAATTCGATCAGCACAACAAGTATATGCCGGATATTCAGGGTAGGATTTCACAAGCAACACTTCTGGAACTCTATTAATATACCATTCCATCTGCTTGCAGAGCAATTGGCCAACAGTTTGCGTCTAGTCCCACTGGGTCCTTCTGTGCAGGCTGCTGTGTTCCTGTGCTTCCGTGTGCTGCTGTTGCGCATGTCACCCGATCATGTGACCTCCCTGTGGCCCATCATCATAGCTGAAATGGTGCAGGTATTCCTGCAAATGGAACAGGAACTCAAGTCGGAGACTGATGAGCGCAGGTGCGTCTTAGTAGAATACTTAGAGCGTAAATCGTATTTAGCCTAAAGAGAGATTCTCATTTTAAGTGCATTGGCCTTAAGAGAATCCATTCTCATGGACGATAAATGGGTGGAGAACAATATTAAAATTTATATATATCCTCTAAAACGATCTTACAGCCAACAAACACGCCTGCTGCCGGGCATTGATGTCTCCTGGTCGTCTTCCAATTCGAGTGCCAGCAATGGCATCAACCCCCAGACGCCGATGCAGCACTGGCGTTCCGTGCAGCTGGAGGCATGCAAGCTGCTGGAACTGGGCTGTGTGCTGCCCGCTACGAAGCTGCCGCATTTCCAAATGTATCGCTGGGCTTTTGTGGGCACCGAGTTCGATGTGCACGAGGAGGTGGTGCCGCTGCCGCTGCCCAATGGCAGCATTGAGAATCTAGCCGCATTGCCCAATGCACTGTATGTGCCGCATGTGCGGCGCGTGGCTCGTCTCATGGACATGAAATATACGAATCAATCGCCGGTAAGTGGCTTCCAAATTCGTTAGTTGTGGGTCACGAATTAATCCTTTCACAGCTATTGCAGCGTGCGCGCAATCGTCACCTTATGTTGGGCTTCCAGCAGCTACAATCGCTGCAGGAGCTATATCCATTCTTCTCCACGCTGGGCATTAGCTGCCCCAATCCGTGCAACTATGCCGACACGGAGCAGAATGTGGCCAGTTGCCTGCAGGAGCTTGAAGATGTCTTGGCCCAAGATTTTCTTGAGAAATTGCCGAGCATCACAACGCCTAGATGAAAACTGGTCGCGGCCTACAGGCAGACGACGCAGGCGCACATCCAAACGAGAAGCCTGACACAGTTCGAGCTGGAGCTGAATCTGGGCGGCATGGGGGGCGTTACGCCCACCAGCAACGGTCAGACGGCGCGCATCTTTGCGGCGGTTCAAGCGAAACTGAGCAGCCAGAACGCGGAGACGAGCTTCATGCAGACAACCAAGAAGACCAACTTTCCATTTTACGTTTAGAGAGTGAGCCAAGCGATACGATAGCTAGTTAGATAGTGCAGTATAGTATATATATATATATAGCCGACAATGTGTATTAATGAATATTATGTTTTAACTGTTGAGTAAGTCCTATGAAATGTTTAGCTTAGTAGCAACCTGTATGTATGTATGTGTATATTTCAACTGTTGATAGCTGCGCCGAAGTAAACGACAAATTGCAATTCAATAGACCTGTTGTAGTATTTAATTACAAATATTTATTTATATATAAATATGTATAAAAAGAAGGCACACGGTAAACTCTTAAATTAAACAATTGCCGGTAAATGCAATCAATATGCGGAGAGATTCACACGAAATGCGAACAGTTGGGTGAGATTCAAACAACCACCGAATGCTGCGGCGGACTGCCCTGGCGATTCTTCAGCTGCAGGTGGTACGAGTAGACGATCCGTGCGCAGAACAAGCAAATAACTGAAAGGAAGATATATACATACATATATTATGTAAATCAAGAATTCTAGGTACTTACGCATCACAACAATGTAAAAGAGCAGCGCCAAGATCACATTGTTGAAGCCCGACGCCTCGCGATAGCCACCAAAATGGAAGATGGTACCGAATACGGCAAACGGAAAGTTGATGGCTACTAATAGGGCGTAGATCAGCCAGATGCCAACCAGCACATGGTTATACTATAAAGGGAATCAAGAATATATCTATATTTATTAATATACATATGTTTACAGCTGTAAGATGTAGAAAGTTTATTCTCATTTGCAAATTAGTATAATTAATGTATACAGCAACAAAATTGTAGGCACGACTGCTAAATACCCTGTTGTCTGTTTAATAATGGCTAGGGTATATTAGGTCCCATTTCTGAATGGAATACCTTTGTGGACTCACGACAATTGATTAGCACTCAATAAATTCACATTTTTTTAAAAACTAATAATGGGTGACATCACAATTTTCCGAAAATGCCTAATTCTATGATATCATCGAGCTCCAGCGCTTAAATACTGGGAAAAATTTATATATATGTAAGTACCAATAGTTTTACAGGTAGTCTAACAGAGTGTGTCGGTGGGCGTGACCGCAAATGTTATATTTCATTTGATAGGGCAATGAATAAAATTCATTTCATACGAACAGATGGCTACTGCACAAGCCCAATATGCCCGCTTTTCCTGTGGGAACAGATTGCATACACGGCTTCTTCGTTTTTATTTTTTGCAAATACCGCAAATTTAACACTTGTTGCTCTCAAAAACAGAAATGTATATGTGTATGTGAGTGTGTGTGTGTTTGTGTGCATATTTTTCTCCAACCAGTTCCCAGAGTGTAGAAAATTTTTAAGAGCAATCTTTACTTCTAGATATGGCTTATCAGGCGTACAAATACTTGCTACTGCTACTGCTACTGCTCGGACCGGAAATATTAAAGCTTACGCATATGCCCGAAATATTATATATTTGTATAAAATAATATAGAATATATCTTAAATAATATAAACTTACCCGCAGGCAGCCAATAAGCAAGCAAACATTGGCAATGACCGCAATTGCGAATCCAATAAACGTCAGAGCTGGAAAATAAGAATTAATCTCTGTGTGATCATCACTTTATTCAAACTTGGCATCAGAGTCGTTTAAATTCCAAACTATCTATGTAATTTTGAAAAAACGAAAAACTCAACGAACAAAATAAAACGCTCGCCCTTGTCATGAGAACACGTTTCGAAACGCCTTGTATAGAGAAGTATTAGCTCATACTTTATATTTACGTATATAGGTGTCTGTATGTATGTATTGAAACATACATATATATATCTACATATATATGTAGACTCTGTGACCATTGGGATTTTATTTGCGTACAATGGAAACCAAAACATATATTCAATATAAACGAATGTTGTAGCCTACATATAAAAAACCACAAAAACTTAAAATATATTTCACTCACCCGACGGCGCAAATAGCGTATTTAGTGCTATGGAAACTAACGTATAGATAGCTATGCCCAGACACCAGCTACGTAGCTCTGTATCGCATGGTCCACGGTCTACGGTTAAATCGAATTTCATTTTAAGGCCTGGCCTAAAGAATGCGCGGCGTTGACAAAGTTTTCAGTTTTTTCCGAATTGAAGTGGAACGGATCGGATCGCGACACACAGCTCAAACACTACCGACGCGCGCAACAGGCGAACAACAACTGACAACTGGCGCGTCTCCACATTCTACTACGCCCCACATTCATCTCCCCGAACAGCAATAGAGTGTGTGTAGCGTGCATTAGCATGTATATGTGTGTCATGAGTCAGGAGTACAGTAAATGAGCGTGTTTACGCTTCCCCTGAGAGGCGTTTATAACAATTTTATGTGTGAAATGCACAGTTCATATAACAAAAATATAAGAGTTATTCATTTTTTTAAAATTTCGCTAAGCAAGCAAATGCATTTTTGCAACAATCTGGCAACGCAGTCACGTCTTAGTCACGCTGATAAATGTAACTGTTACTAAATAACTATTATGTGATAATTATGTATTTGAATTGCGCTGAAAAAAGTCTTGTGACTCAAACTTATTAAATTTGTTATTATGTTTTCATTAGAATTCAGGTGGAGCGCAGTACAAACAAAGAAATACGATTATAAAGCATAAAAATAAATTACTCTTCTTTGCTCAGTTTGGCACAGCATCAATGTTTTTGTTGTGACTCGATAGTGTCATTCTAGTATAAATCTTGCCAGTTACGGTTAACGTTGCTGCGCATTTCTCGTACTGCATTCATTCTCAATTGCGACGTGTAGGAAGCAACTACAAAGTTCTGACCGAAGTTCTGTGTAAGTGTATATGTGTGCTTGTGTGTGTTTGCGTTGGCATTTGATTTCATTATTCATTACATTTTTTCTGATTTTATTTCGAAGGCAGTTTATTTCAAATTTTGTGTAACACAAACGTTGAACATGATGGAAAAGGTGTGCTGCATGCGCCTAAGCACCGCCGGCGTCGTCCTCGGATGGATTGGTGTTGTGGCCTCTTTTATCGGGACAATTCTTTTGGCCACCATATTGGGGAACGCCGATGTGATTGCTAAGAGCATTCTAGGAAATATGACTGATGGCGCAGCGAAATATGATGAAATTCACATGGGTAAGTGCATTATAGGGAAAACCGACAAGTGCAAAGTGCATTAAAACTCCCATTAAATCGTTTTATTTGCAGGCTTAATCGTGTCGTGCAGCGTCTACTTGGCCATTGTTGTGCTAAATTTGTTGGCATCGGGCATGCTTATCCTGGGCACAATGAAGGTGAGTGATGGAGAGATGCTGCACATGTGTTCTGTTATACTATTACTTTTTTTTTCGATTTGCCTAATTGTGCAATTGTATGTTCGTCTCTTTTACTCTAACGTAGGAACGTCATTTGATGTTGCTGCCTTGGCTGATCAACTCTGGCGTTGGACTCTTATTTAGCATTATATATCATTTCGTCTTATTGATTTTAGCGCTGACGAGCGCCCAGATCGATCGTATTGTTCCTGTGTTGATAGTCACTTTAATAGGGCTAGGTGAGTCACGATATTGTTCCCCAGTGTGGAATGCAATCTTAATTTTGCACAAACACAGGCAAATGCACATGTGCACACATACTCACATACGTAATTGTTATACAAATAGTCTGCTTTGCCGGCTCTGTGTACACATGTATTACATACGCCGCTTATCGTGCGCTAATACATAAAAATGCATATACACACATATGTACATGTGTATGTACCCCTTGTATACTGTACTAACTGCGCATTGCTTGTTCTCTTTTAGGTCTGCATATCTACATTTACTGCGGTATCTACTCGCTGTTCAAGCAAATTCAGCTTACCCGCGAGCAGCAGCAGCCACTGATTAACCAGTCTCAGGGTGCAGAAGTGCCCAATCAGGGAAATAGTTATCCCAGCTATACCAAAATCTAAACTCCTTAATAACGAGCAAGCGAATGTTGCCGACCGGGAAGCGATCGGGAATCTTTGAAAACGAAAATCACATTTAATGTTTAATGTTAAACCCCACATATATATATATATACATGCATACTTGAATATATGTGTGCACAGGGTGCACGCGTAGTGTCGTAATAACCGTATATGTTGTAACAGGATCAAATATTTTTTTTGCTATTTTTCCGGGCATTTTTTAATGCTTGCCTTTAAATATAAATATCTCTATATATATATATGTATATGTACACACAGATAAGAATTTGAAAAGTTTGGGAGCGGGCAAGCTGGAAATCAATCGTTGTAACCTGTGGATTCGGCAGCTTATGGTCATTTGCCCAGGCCCAGCCACATGTAACTGGGATCAATGAACTGGGAGCCACGATATCCGTTGGGATTGCGTGATACCAGCGAGCGTACCTTCTGCGACGGTCGATAGCTGCGTACGGATTGCAACAGCTTGGATGTTTTACGATCGGACGGCTGACCGGAATCATAATCGTCATCCTCTTCTGTATCGTCGATCTTCTGCAGCGGATGTGGATGCTCGCCCTCAAGCAGCTGCGACTCCGCATCGCCCAGTTGCTGCGAGTGCTCCGCAAAGTGCACGTTCGCCTTTAGCTGGTTGAAGAAGTCACCCAGATTGGTCATGACTCCTGGAAAAGAATGTAGCACTTAGCAAAACGTGGCCCCTGCACACCCAGCACATCAGCTACCCACCAGCACTGATGGAGGGCCTATAGCGTGGACCCTGACGGACCTCGGACGGTTCGCGTTTATGTTTACGTTGTTGCTTGTTTCTGGTGCGGGAGTAGGCGGAGCCCGGTTGGTCGAACAATGCCTGCAAATCGTCCTCGCCACTTTTCTGTCCCGAGGTGGTGTCATCAGCCGGAGATTGCAGGTCGTCGTCCACCCATGTCCGATGCACCTGCAGCTCCTTTAAATACTTATCGTAGCGTTGATGCCAAAGTCGCCATCCTTTGTTGAAGTTCATCGGAAGCCGTGGGAAATTAAACGCCTTCACCAAAGCATCGTCGAATTCGGGCGCCATTTCCACAGCCTCAATTTTCGGCAAAGGGCTTCCGTTGTCAAGAAAATCGCGGTAAGAGTTTTTCGATGTGCCCGCTGGCCAGTTCCAGGTCGCCAGCGCGTCGTCCGCCTCCGCTTCGATGGGCGCCTGGCGCATTGGCGCCGCTGTGCAACAAAATAACATTAATTGAGTGTGGCCCTAGGGATTCATATTTTCTGGAGCCTGAAACGGATGTTCAATTTCCGTTCGGACTCTGCAGATTTTAATTGCCGTTGTATACATATACAATACAATTAATTGAAGGTCAATCGTTAAACTGACATGGATATATGTGTGAATCCAGGTAAAAGGTGAATGAAAGTCGGGGACATGTAGTTAGATTTGCCAATAAAATTCACGCTGTTGCCTTTATATTTTTCCAGATTTTATAAATGACAATATATGTGCATACATTTATACTATATTCTACATTTTTCCAGATTTTATAAATGTTTTTATATACATAGCAGGTAAATTGATATTTGCACGGCTCGTGTTATAATTTAAAAAAAATGAGAAAAAACTATATTCGGCACGCCGAAGATTTAATACTCTTATAACATTTGCCTCACGGCTTTGCACATTTCTGAGAATTTTGCAGCTCGTAAATGCTGAGTTCTTTGCTTTGAGAAAACTTTGCCATACGAAAACTCATTTTTCAACCGATTCTTCCTATAGAGACATATAATATAATATATACCATATAGCAGCAAAGTCAAACTAGTTAATTCCCTTTTTCCTACAAGTACTTAATTTCCGTTGACAGCTTTATAATATAGTGGTCCGATGTTGATAAGATATGGTATATAAAAACCAACCAACCAAGTTTAGCCAAGATATCTTGATGATAAAAGGGGTTTTTTTTAAAGAACCTTCTTTTCGATCGAACGTACCAATGGCAGCTATAGATATAGTGGTCCGGGAGGATCTCTGACCAATGCTAAGATTCAAGGCGATAGCCTGAGAGATTATAACGGACAGATGGACGGACAGACAGAAATGGCTATATCAACTTGGCTGTTGATGCTGATCAAGATAATATATACCTATTGTGTTACATTTTTCATGACAAAAATTATAATACCCTCTACAAGGGTAAAGAAAATAATCAAAATGGGTTTTCCCTCAGTGCGCCACTAATGGGCATTTGGGGTTCATCTCCTCAGTGTATATGCTCGATTTTAAACAAAAAAAATATATACACATTTTTATGTATATGTACTATATAAAATCATGCCCATTTATAGTGTACATAGATAATTGAGACCGGACAGACAGGCATATAAGCTACACATTTGCACTAACGGGAAAAATAAATTAATTTCTATACGCTAGGCAAATTAAGATTTCCACGTAGTGCCCAAGTCAATTGAGTTAATATTAAACATGATATACGTTTTATTTGTTTTGTTTACGGAATTCCGTAAAAGCCTATTTAAAGCAAGAGCTGCATGGTCAGAAAAGATCAAGGCGCATCTTTGATTTATAATTCATTGATACTGCAGTTGAAGAATATATTCGACTTCTGTCAAAATATGAACTATGTATTTACATATATATAATAATAATCTGGGAATCGCCTAGTTTGCACAATGCTGCTTTTTTTGTGCATAGTATGAATGTGTATCACATTTCTTCTGCGAACAGAATTATTCTGTTTTTTTTTTTTGTAATTTTTTCAATTCTAGTGAATTACGTTACGATAAGATTTATTTACTATGTGATACGTCGCAGACGAGGGACTATATACTGAACTATTATCTATATATAAAACTGCTTGTTCTGAACGATCTATAAAAGCTAGAAAGCTGCAATTTTTATTGTTGCATCTTCATCAGGGGCTCAGTTGTATAAAAGTCCAAACTAAGACGGGGCTTCCGGAAATTTCGCCCGCAAGCGTGGAAAATTCACGGAAAACGGTCGCATGCAACTTTTTTGTCTAACCTTTGTAGAATTAATTTGTTGTACACTTTGCGGAAAATTCAATTGAAAGGTTTAGTTTACAAGCACATTTTCGTTTCATTTGTAAAAGAATGAAAACTTTTTTTTTATATTAGCAAAACTTTGACTGCACTTGTAAATTGTAATAAAAATTATATAAAATATTTCGCGGTCACGGAATGGATGGAAAATGGATGTAATGTCTAAAATTACAAAATAAAAATGTTGCAAAGCGTAATTAGTTGATTATATTAATATTGAAAGTAAAGGATTCTTTAGTTTTTTGTTTAATAGTTGCATAAAACAAATATATTTCTATAAACGAATATGTACATCTCTGAACTCAACTTAACTGAAAATCATAATAAGAATAATTAATTCCAAAACTTTCAGAGAATATCGGGCATTTTCTAGGCCTTGATTCCGATCAAACTTTTCGTAATCGAAACGGATTTTTGCTTTTCAATTCGATTTTATTAAAGAAGATTATTATGGAAACATGCAGAAAAATGTCTTAAATCTATTTAACTATATATATATTTTACATATCTCACCTGTCATTATGAGCATCGTCAGTAAAATGCATCGCCTAAAGCTTAAGCATGGAAGCGACATTATTGGTGTTATTTAATTGTAGGCCTTATAGGAATATGGCATTATCTATTACTACTCGGCCTTGGGCTAAAGTGTTGTTAAGCACATTATGGTGGAAGTACACAGAGTTTTTAAAGCACAGCTCCAGGATGGAGCACGAGATCGAATGCCACAGCGTGGCAAATGGCAACTAACGGCAGAGGCGACACTCTGGTCCGTTTTTATAGCGTCAAGAATGTATCCTGGCCAGCGTGCCGAGCACCTGTTGTCCGCGCCTCGGCTCAGACAGCACGACAACGAAGTCACAGGTGGCGGGTGGCGGGCGGCGGGCGGCGGGTGGTGAGGGGTGAACCGGTGGCAGCAACAACTACAACTACTTTGCCGCTGCTGAGGACATGCGCAGCAGTCGCAGCCGCAACCGTCACATTTGAAACGCGACTCGAGCTTTGGATATTGGCTAATATGCACAGCAATGGCAATTGGCCAATTGGCGAGTGGGTGGCCCAATGGCAGTGGCATCTGTAGTGCGACGTCTTTGGATACCCATTCAGCTCCTTTTGCAGTTGTTAAGCGCCAATAAGGCTCAGGTGTGCCAAAAGGAATACAAGTGCCGCAACAGGCACAATTATCCTGCTCTATTGCGTAATGCCGATGTCATATGATATAACATAAAATTTCCGATTTTTTTAACTTCAACTGATTGCTGCTCCCGGCTGCTCCTGACTGCCCCTGGCGAGAGTCCTCAAAAGTGACGTCAAAGGCTTTTAAAAATTCACAGCATTTACATAATTGGGTCAGTGGCTGGCGGTTTTGTTAGCCATCATTGTTTGACTTGGCCTCCGCTTTGTTGTCGTGCATTCTGCATAGAACATCTCCGGTCGCCTTTGAGCCCAGCTCCTGACTTCTTTTACAGCAGCAGCAACAGCAGCAACAGCAGCAGCAGCTGCAGCAGCAGCAGCTGCAGCAGCACGACCTTGATGCTGTTGCTGCACGGTGTCGCTCGGCAATCTAATTAGATTTGTGGGCAGCGGCAGGTTCTTTGTGACGCGCCCGGCGAGCTAATGGCCAGCAACGGCAACTTTCACAAAAAGCATTTAAAAGTTTTTAAACACTTTGTAAATTTGCCTACTTTCATGTAATTTTATTTGTGCTGCAACGGACCTTTACATAAATATGTCAATTTGCATTACGTGCAAGCAGAATTTTCCCAGTACAAGAAAATTGTTGAACTGCTTTAAAGTATGCAATACTTTTCGGCCTAGCAACGATTGTACGGAGTTTCTACGTAAAATTCTCGTTGCGTATAATAAGTAAGTACTGCGTGCAAAACGGTTATATATTTGCTGACCGGGCGTATAAGTACTGTAGCAGAATTATTTGTGCAAACATTTCATATTCATAGCTATCGTTATGGGGCAAACGTTGATCAGTTGAATATTGCATAGAAAACAAACACCCTGTTAGCAGTGCATAAAAAATTGCAAAAGCTGTTGCATCTCGTAAGCTTTAAAAGCTTTGCTTGTGAACAGAATAACAAAAGCTACGCGCGAATTTAAAGTCTTCCCCGTAACAGTTAAATAATGCCATTTTGAGTATAACAGCAACAAGTAATCACAGCTTGGCATAGCTGTTACTTTACAGCGAATATGCTCACAGCATTGAATATGTGTTTAAACTGCTTCAACGAAAAATCATTTTGACAGCGTATCCTAAATAATTTCTGTATAACAGACAAACTTATTAGCTGCTCAAAAAATAATAATATAATAATTTATTTAATAGGCAACTTATAACATTTTTACAACAGGACTAATTCGATTTATGGCAGCAGCATATATCATATGTTTTGTGTATAGAGTATATATAAAGAGCGGAAATATGTCATATATATATGATAAAATATGCCAATTAAAATAAGGGTTGATTACTTCTAATGTGACTTATTTATGCATATGTTCCTTTTTGAACATATAGAACAGTTATTTATTTAATGACCCTCGCTCAGCATTGCGGACCATCTGCGCTCTACGCCTCTGGCTCACTCGCGTTCTTCGAGTCGAGAAGCCGAAGCGGACGTCGCGCTCAGTTGCGTTTGAGCTTTCGTGCCGTTCAGTTGTTGACCGCGCAGAGTTGTCAAAGCGAACGAAGTTGTTCACGCGACGCTGGCAGCAACTAAATAATTGGCTAAACAGTAGTTAAATTTTTCAGTGACTGTGGAGTGAATGTTGCCATACCAAAAGGAATAAGGACAAAAACTGGCAAAAAAAAAACAGTTAAATAGACGTTTATGTACAGCTGAAAATTAGAGTTCAGCTACAAATCCAAAACAAGGTGCGGCAGTAAGTTTATGTGAATATGTGAATTGTGAAAAATATTTAGGGGTAGAGGAGTTTGTATGCGGCACATGCCGCTGCACTGCCAAAAAAAAAAAAGAAACTCCAGTGTCATGCGCAGACGCAACAAAAACATAAAACGGCTGTTTTTCACATTTTCCCGCGCAGCGGCTGCCGCAGGTTGACGACCCGCAGCGGAAAAAAAAAACGAAAAAAAAAATGCCGGCACAGGCCGAGCAGCGATAACAGCAGCAGGCAGGAAGAATATTGCGACCCAGTCCGAGGCCCCAAGTCATCTGCTCCACTCACTTTCGTTGGGGCTTTTCTCCTTTATTGACCATTGGCAACTAGAAAAAGGCCCAGAACCAACAGCAGTTACATTAATTGCGGCACACGCGACGTATACGCAACGCGCTGGAAATCGTTGTAACCGCCTGTGGGATGTTGTTTACCTGGCCACATAGCTGGGTAGCTGGGCCAGCGCCACCTACAACACCATTCTCCATATTTGGCGCTGCTCTCGAGTATTTCTTGTTTTCGCCTAGCACGCATTGGCACTTGAGCGCGTGTTGGGGGCGCTTCAAGAGGGCCGCCAACAGTTCAATATAAAAATGTGCTAAACATTCGTGCTGTAGAGGTAAACCGGGAATTCAAGTAAACGAAATTTCGGTTGTCAAGAGACAAATAGAAATCACATTTGAACATTTCTGGTGAAAACGAACCGAACTTCTTACTCTGAGAAAGTTTTCGAGCGAATTTTGCAGTACAGCAAATATTTTCCTGTCCTGCGGCTCGAACAATGAATCTGTTTTATCTTTCGCTTACCATATATTTTTTTTTTTTAATTTTTATTAAATAGATTAATTAATTTTTTTTAAAAAATTCCACCCAAATATAGATAGATAAACGCAGGGGTTGGAAGTGCAAATTATTTATGGTTTGTTATTAGATTATCCTCAAAAGTTTTAATATATTTAACCAAACCATTTCAGAAAAATATCTGATTTAGTTCCTGTTTCGGTTTGGTTTATTTTGGACAATTTTTTTGGTTTAGGTTTCGGTTCACAGTAAATGGAAAATATATTGGAATCTGGATCCTGTCTTTCTAAATAATTATGATTCGGTTTTCGTTTTTCTCAAAAATTATTTACTAAAAATTGACAGATTATACATATATATTGGCCAGTTAGTCAATTTACATATATTCCATTCATATATTCTATAAAGTCCATCCCATGAATGAAATTACCAGAAACAGATTCGTCTTAAAGACACTGTTTAAAATAATTACTATTCACAAAATTCTTGACATCTTATTCATTGTTTTAAGCCGTAATTGAAGCTGAGTTGGCCGCTTATTTCCGAGGCATTGCTCAAGGGAATTGCATAGACAACAGCAACTGGTTGACCTTGATGGCTGTAGAGAATTGCACAGTCGTTGTGATTAATCATCAATGAAGCGTGCAAGAATCAAGAAACAGTTGACTCTTGGCTGCAATGTTCGTTTATTATGGGCTGAGCCTCACGTGGAGCACAAGCAAATGCCAAACCTGGCCCAAAAGATAACGAACAAGCGTATCAAAGAAAAGGAAATATATATAAATACATATATACATATGTGTATATATATTCTAATACAACTACAACCGGTTCAATGTTTGCACAATTTCTGTCGCCAGACGTTAAAATATTACTGAATGGCTTTTGCCTGAATTGGCTGCGGGCTCTGAGGGAGCCACATAAAGTCGTTAACTGCTTTCGGCAACGTGTGGCGCATTCGGTTCTGGCTCATTCGCTTTATTTGTTAATTTGAATTTCACACACATCACACACACACACAGCACACACACACGCACACACATTAGCTAAACTTCAGTTTCTGTTGAACTTAAATTTTGTTTATTTTTTTTCTGTGAAACATATTTTTGTTGCCATCGGAAGCTGGTTGATTATTTAGAGTTCAGTTGTTGAGCGAATCTTTTCGCATTTGAGCTCCCAACTAGTCAGATGTTAGGGCTTTTTATATATTTTTAGAAACAAACTGCAGCTGCATCCATTAACAACAACCCGCTTCCTGTTCCTCATACATGCGCGTGCTTATGAATAAATTTTAAATGCCGCTTCCTTTAAGCTCATTTTATAAAGACGAAACAAGTTAATTAAGCACAGAGAGTGAAAGACAGAGAGAGAGACAACCACGGAGATAAAGAGAAAGAGAAAGAGAGAGAGAGAGAGAATGAGAGAAAGAGAGAGAGAGAGAGAAAGAGAGAGAGAGAGAAAGAGGGAGAGCGTGGCAATACATCTCCTAAAACATTCAAGTCTGGTGAACTAGAAGTCTTTGGGGATTCTTTAATTATTTAATTGCCCTTCTTTGCGATTCTCATGAATTCAAAAAGCCTCAAAGCTTTCTTGCTCTGATTATAAGTGTTGTATTAACAAGTGAAAACATTCCCATAAGATTTTTAACCCTTAACTTCATTCAATATTTTATTTACTGTCAATTCTATAGTTCTTCTAACTACATGTTTCTCCCAGTGTATTATTTGTTAGACCGCAGAACTGTTAACTGTTAGTCCGTGTTGGCTGTCACTGAGATGAACCGCAAAGCGTAACGGCAAACGGGGTGCCTCGGCCCGACCCTGGTGCACTGCTTCAATTACACGCACATTGCTCATACGCCAAGTGGCACGCACAGTTTTTTTTCGGAACTGACCCTCGCGTTCTCAAAAACTCAAAAGTTGCATGCGAATTGGTAACTGTGACAATCCCACGGCTGATTCTGCTTCTGTGTCAAGTCCGTTTTGCAACCGTTGCAATTGTGCGAGGGGTGTGTGTGTGCGAGGGTTGTGT